AGAGAGAGAGAGAACAGGAGAAAGGGGAGGGAGAATGTTATTGAAAATGAGTGGGTGTTATTGTTTGATCTCGTTTTTTCTCCCTTTTTGTTTGTTTAATTTCACTTGATTGCTAAAATGAAAAGTGTCTGCAAAATGATGGACTAATTAGAAGAACATGCAACCATTATTTTTCTTATGAAGAAAAGAAAAGAGTTTTATCCTTACAAGATCCCATCCAAAGCCTTCACTCTGCACCATAGTGGGTTTTGAAGTCATTTACATAATAGCTAACAAAAATGTACTCAGCAAAACACCGGGCTTTCTAAACACAGGAGATAATTATTTTGGAAGAATGATATTCCATTGCCATCTCCATTTTCAAGATACATTTATTCTCCCTGTACACAGCATAGAACAACCAAACACATATTAACATATATTGCGTAGGTGTGCGCCATTAGAGTGACAAGGTACAGGCAGTTGGGGCTGATGGGGGCTAAGGCAGAGCAAAAGCCAGGAAGGAAAGAAAGACTGCATTCTATTCCTAGCATATATGTACCACCTGAATGGTATTTTTCATTATCTCCTGCACTGGGAACATTCTATTATTCCACTGGGAAGTCATAGCAGAAGAGATATAATTATCAGCAGAGTAATGGGGATGCTCTAGCTAATGGCCAGCTATTCAAATATCTCAATATAATCGTCTTGCCCAATCTCTCCCCATTGCATACTCTTCTGGAGAAACTCATCATTTTTTCCACTTACTCCAGCATAATGAATTCATTTTGCATTTTCTTTGTGAGAAATTAAGAGGAATCGCAATATAATGTGTTGACATTTGAAATTCTGCACAGAAAAGTTTAGGCTGGCAATTTAGTTTAATCGCAAGCTAGCAGGGAGAGGCTGCTTATTAAATTAGTTCCCTGTGTACAGAATGTGTATTTTCTTTATAAACCTTTGCCTTTGTACCTGAGTTTAAATTTTTTTCCCTTCTTTGTTAAGTCCCAGTTTTCTCAAAAGAAAAAATTATGTCCTAAACTAAAGACTGTGTTCTTTGAGCTTCTTTCATTCTTTTTATGGTCAAAATTGTTGACATCAGAGATGAGCCTTGAGTAAGAGGCCCTTGGGAAAAGTGAAAAATAAATAAGAAGTTGCTTTAAGAAAAGCCACCAAAGTGTATTTTCTTTTCTGCAATATTAAACCACTCATTTTGGTCACTCTTGGGAAAGATTCTTTCTCCCTATTAGAGTGAAGCTCTTCTGTTTATTTGTTCAAACCTAAGCTTGAGTAACCATTTCCATATTTTCTGCCTCTTATTTTTCTTTTTAGAGTTTCAAGTCATTTTCTCTGATAAGACTTGCAAACTGCTAATAGAACAGCCTTTTCAGTTTCTCTAGGGAATGCCAGATATCTGGGCAGGTGGTAACATGAACAAGTTATAAAAAACTGCTATTGGAATCACTGAATTGGAAGAGAAGTTGGCTTTCCTCTCATCCCAACCTAGAAGCTTCCTAAGTTCCAGCATTTGTGGGGTGAGAGGCAAGGCTAGGTTGTGAAACGTGTGTCATCAGTTGATGGGGTGCAAAAAGATTAAAAAAATGGTGTCTCATTTTGATTACCTTCCTATCATGTCTCACAGCCTTTCATTTGCTTCCTGTAAAGTATTTTTTTATATCCATCCAACTAAATATTGTGTTAACATAGCACCCTACAATATTTTGAAGAACACACTCATTTGAGAAAACAGAGTCAGAGGGAGTATCCATTCCTCTGTCTCTGGTCCTTTCTGAACAGCACTCAGATTAGAACTCCCTGAGCTCATCAGAGGCTGCTGGGAAGGGGTATGAGGGAAAGACAACACGGCCTGCCCTTCAGAAAGGCAACCCTTGAGACTAACACGAAACTGGAAGAATTACTCTGCAGTCTGTAAGAGTCAGTCTCATCACACTCTCTGGATCTGTCACCATCCAATCCATACCCACTCTTCGTCTTGTAGATGGTATATGGTTTCCCTCTACCTCTTGAACTACCTTTGACAGCTAAGACTATGCCTGGCCACTCCAAGTTCTTCTTCAATATTAGTCTAAAATTTTACATTCTTATTTCAATTACAATTCTCTTCCAATCTTTTTACATTAATGTTGTTGATTGTCATTCTTTTTTTCCCTCACTCTGCATATTATTATCATTAATAAAATCCACTGCTATTTAACTGTCAAACAGTTCTACTGCCATAACTATTATAATATGGGATTTGTCACTTTGTTTGGAAGATGGTCTCTTGTTCTAAAATGTGGAGTTTTCTTTAAGAAAGATGGTTCCAGGGGCACCTGGGTGGCTCCACAGGTTAAGCATCTGCCTTTGGCCCAGGTCCTGATCCCAGGCCCCATATTGGGCTACCTGCTCAGCAGGGAACCTGCTTCTCCCTCTCCCTCTGCCGCTCCCCCTGCTTGTGTTCTCTCACTCACTGTCTCTCACTCAAATAAATAAATAAAATCTTAATAAAAAGAAAGATGTTTCTATCTTTCATAATAAAGACATTACACGAAAGGATAGTGTCTCAATTTACGTTTGGAGATGTTCCATAAGCTATAGGGAACTGAAGAGGAAGTAAAAGGAAGGAAGCCCACCACAACTCCCAAGGTATGACAGTGAAATTGCCTGCATGTGTGTTACTTAAAACTGGTTATGATGCACTGAGGTTTTCAAATTCCAATCCATAACCTGTTTGTCATTACTAACAGAAGCCAAAGGAAGTAGGGGGTATATGAGTGACTGCAAAAGTATATGTTTGAGAGCACACTCACCAAAAAAGCAGCTCTGGCTTATAGTATGAAAGGCAGTATGTTATTATAGCAAGAACACTAGATCACAAGCCAGCAGCCTGAGTTCTAGTCTTAAATCTAGTCTGTGCTAACTAGCTATGTGACCTTGGGTCTATGAATCATAAAGCCTCCAATTCATCCATAAAATGAGGAAGTTAGATTTGATTTTGTGCAATACCACTTCCAATTTGAAGCAACTCTAATTACATTATTTGGATTTAAAGTATCTTTCTGAAAACCAGGCTATTAATGGCTAGTAGACATAAATTATAATCCATAGTAGTTTCATTTTAAAGGATTCATTTTTAAGAAGTTTCAGATAGCAGGTAAAGAGGAAGTGATGTAACTAATTACAGGGAGGTTCAGTGAAGGAATATGGCAAACTGGTTCAAGCAATCCATCAGTAGGGATTTACTGAATGTCTCCTGCCTTAAATATTATGAAAGATAAAAAAATATTTTAAAATATCTGAAATGATCTCTTTCTTTAATTGCTTCCTCTTTAGGAGGAAGGTGAAGTACAACCCTTTATAAAAATACGAAGCAAAGAAGTGACAAACAGTATAGTTTCTATGAAGAGGTACAGTAGAACTTTAGATAATGACCCAAATGAAGCAGTCTTATGGGAACAATTAGGGTCTGATAAAGTTTTAGAATTATCGGTGGTACTAAAATGAATATAGAAAAGGGAAATGCTCAGTTCAGGCAGGGAAGAGAGACTCTGCTAAACTTCACAGAGAGGTTTTAAGGAGGTTCTCCAATGCTGTTGTTCAGTAACAATGGGTGTAGAGAAACAACCCCAGACATAACTAGGAACCTTATCTGGCTCCAACATATTTTGGAAGAATTGATGACAATGAATATTAAGATGCCCTAACTTCATGGTTCATCAAAACAGAGACCTACCAAGACACAAAACCATCCTATGGACTTTACTTTACAAAGAGCTGCTCTTTGGCATGACATATAATTCCTTTTATTAGCAGAGACATAGGTACCTGACCAGGGGAACTGTAGAGGAATATAGATTACTCTTAATGTGCTGTTCCTTATATCTTCTTGGGTTACAGTGACACTATGATAATTTCATCATGTACACAATTTTACCAACATTTTTTTCTTATTATAGAAACGTGTTGATGTTATCTTAAATAGCTGCAGCTAGAAAAAATACAAACTTTTCATACAAGACTAAAGAAAAAATTTAAGTGAAGAAAGAAATTGGTGCATAAGCCATGTTTGATTCTATAGACCAAAATGGGAGGGAGTTTGCTAAGAATTTTCTGTGGCCCATTAGGATTCTCAGTAAATAATTCACAGCAGTTGTCTTCAAACATTTTTGCTCATGTACCACTAAGACTTTTGAAAAACTAATTTACTCTCTCACTTTTTTTTTTTTTGGTTTTGGCCAAACTTTTTATTTAGTATTCTGTAGTTGCTTACCACACACTTAAATGGTCTTATTGGGGGAGGGGAAAGGGAAGGTTCTTGTAGATTCCCAAGGAAATGTCAGAAAGGCAAAATATGGCCAGCATTATCCATTTGCTTTTTTGGGTTTACTGGCTGAATAGCACTTTCCTTACATAAGCATCTGATCTCAGGTTTTTCATACTGAGAACATTGAGATTTCAGTTGAAGACACTCTGAAATCCTAGAGTAGCATACGCCAACCACCCTCTAATAGCTAGCTTGTTTGTATAGGCAGAAGGATTCACCTCTCCATTTTAGATGGCTAGATGTTTGTGGAAGGTCTTAGAATTGCTTTGCCTCATTTACTGGGAAAAATCAGATATAGGAAGTGGCCTTTAGGGACACTTTTAACTTGAAAAATTACAACACTAGTACACAAGTCAAGTCTTAACACATTTAACATTTGCTTATTGAAAGCAATGTCATAAAGTCAAATATGATTAAAGAGGTTTTACTTTTGGGCGCCTGGGTGGCTCAGTTGGTTAAGCAACTGCCTTCGGCTCAGGTCATGATCCTGGAGTCCCGGGATCGAGTCCTGCATCGGGCTCCCTGCTCAGCAGGGAGTCTGCTTCTCCCTCTGACCCTCCTCCCTCTCGTGCTATCTCTCATTCTCTCTCAAATAAATAAAATCTTAAAAAAAAAAAGAGGTTTTACTTTTTTTTCCCTCACAAGAACATAAAAATTATGGACGGGGAACTTAACAGAAAATTTTTTAAAAAAGTAACACAATTTTTCCTTTTAGTAGTCCTTGGGTAGTTATGACAGAAAAGGTTCCACTTTTTTGTTTGTTTCTTTGAACAGGGACTTTGGTCCAAAGTTTTGTTTGTTTTTAAAATCTGCTTCTGCCTCCCCCTCTATCAGATCGGCTTCCTCCACAGCCACCACCTCTTGGTGCTCTGCGGCTTGAACTGCTGTAGGAAACACGTGGAGGAGGGTACCCTCTCTCCATAGAAGGGGGAAGCCCTTTTTCTTGTCTGCCAACCGGATCACGACCACTTGAGTAGAGATCACTTTGGCTGCTTGAGTAACTGTCTCGACTTCCACCATATCCGTCACGTGAGCTGCTGTAATCATCATAGCGACTGCTTCCACCATAAGATGGTGGGGGCCCTCGTGTAGGTGGAGCACTACGTGAGTTACCATAACTCTCATATAAATCTCTGTAGGAACCTCCACTTGGATGATCTGAATAGTCACGATCACGACCATAGCCATCTCTATCACTATAGCCTCTCAATGGGTAGTCATCATGTGAACTGGAATGACCATAATCACAGTAAGTATAATCTCTTGGTGGTGGTGCATAATCTCTTGTATCATGAGAACTTGGGTAATCTCTGCTTGAATAGCTGTCTTTATGAGAGTATTCATCATCTCTTGGGGACAAATAAACATCTCTACGAGAGGGCAGGGGTTCCCGTCGAGGTGGGCCTCCGTAACTATCTCTTCCGCGTGACACAGGAGCTCTTCCTCCCATTCCACTGCTGCTGCGAACTGGTCCTGAAGGGGCAGATCTTTTAGGAGGAGGACCATCACTTCGTGGTGGTGGTCCTCTTTTTACTGGAAGTGGTCCCCTGGAAGAACTCATGTTAAAATTCATGGAATAGCCACCATCATCCATGTGCCCTCCACGTGAGGGAGGTCCCCTGGTTCCTCCACTTCCTCCTCTTCCGCCTCTAAGACCTCCTGGAGGGCCTCTGCTTCTTGGAGGTGGAGGTGGTCCACGTCTACCACTTTCAAATGATGGTTTAGTGGCCTGTTCTACTTTGATGGCTTTTCCATCTAAGGACTTTCCATTCATGTCTCTGGCTGCATCCTTAGCATCTGCTGGGCTCTCAAAGGTGACAAAAGCAAATCCTCTCGATTTGTTGGTTTCACAATCTTTCATCAATAGAACGTCCACTATTCGTCCATATTTGCCAAATACTGCTTCAAGGGCTTTTTCATTTGTTTCTGTATTGAGGCCACCAATGAAAAGCTTTCCTAGGCGATCTGCTTCAACCATTTTTTTCCCGCTGGTGAGACACGGAGGAGTGACGACGGTTCCAAGCTCCTACGAGCTCGCCGGCAGGGGCTTCGTAGCAGCTCAGCACGAGGGAGTGCCACCGGTTCCGAGAACGGAAGAGGGAAGCCGCTAGCACTACTGCGCAACGAGCCTCTCTCACGTTTTCTTAAGTTGACATTAAAATTTTCATTATAAGCTCATACTTATGATAGAGTTACAAAATAAATACATTATAAATGTTGACATATAAATATAAAATTGTTAAATCATTCCATTAAACGTATCTAATGGAATCTGAATACTATGATTTGAAAGCTGCCATCATTACAAAAACAGTAGATGACATGAATTTCCTTTGCGATATTAAATTTTTCAGTTTATTTTTTCTCCGTGAATTTGTTTCTGTTCTATATCCCCCAAAGAATTTTATCCTTTAATATATTTTTATGTTTAAAAGTATTTTATTGATTATCCTATCATCTTTCTGTGCAACACAATTATGCATATAAAATGTAACTTAATATTTTATTCCTGACTACAAAGCTCTAAGAATCAAAAATTTCTTCTCAATCAAGTTATAATAATTATCACTAATAAACTATTGATCAAAATAATATAAATAAATCACAAACTTTAATAGTACTTAACATAAAAAAGTTCATTAGAATAGCATCTCTTAATGAGATAGATAGATCTAGGTATTTTTTTCCCCATTAGTTCATGAATTCATGGATGCATACTACTCATTGCTACCATGAGACAATGCTTGTCATCAATTTCCCTTATTATTATCTTCTTAAAAAGATGATTATTTAACTTAATGAGTGATGCAGGACTTACATGTATAAAACAGTCAATGTCAAAACAATCAGCCTAACTAGAACAATCTTTTTGTTAGAAAAAGTTTAACTCAAAGTGTTCATACATATCTCAACCTCACAACATTACACTGGATTTTCATTTAGAGAGTAAATTAATGGATGATAGATAGATAGATAGATAAAGTCACAAAATTTTGACGTGAGTTTTGGTCTGGATGAAATAAGGCCCCACTGCATTCAGTTCTTCACTTAAGTTCACTTTGCTTTGCTTTCACAGTACCTGTCTTTAGCAGCAATGTGCTCTTTTAGATACATTGGGGATGGAAAAGTCAAGGTCATTAATTGAAAATTGCATCACACACCCCCATCCTAGAATATATCAGAATTTAGGACATTTCAACTCAGGCCAAATATCACGCTTTCCAATCTCATACTCTGTCCTTAACAGAAATATGTACAAGACAGGGATAACAAGAAAAGTCTATTCTTGTCCTTTAGGGATGACAATATTTTGAATATCTCGAGAAGTTTTTAAATTCGGTGTGATGATCCGTTAAAATGTATAGTTTTCCAGTGGGAGAACAGTGAGCAAACAGGTGAATTGCCCTCAGATGCTTTCTTGGGAAGATCAATTTTAGAATAAAGAAGGCATATATAAAGTGGAGGATCTGGAAATGTATTCCTTGAAATTATTGGTGCCCAATTATCACTAAGAAAGACTGTGTATTCCCACAAAGGCATTCTCCGGTATGAAACTTACTCCAGAAAGAAAACTCCACCTCTACCCCCTAAGAATAGATTCTATTTCCATGACAACAGTCTTTATTTCCTCATCTCAGCATAGACCCAGCTCTGATTATCAACCTTAACAATGTGTCATGCGCTCTAAATCTATTGTATAATTTAACCCTTCCAATTCTTCTAGATCTTTAAATTGGGATTATTATTCACAATGTAAAGCTATGTGGCTCAAGGGAGGTAAGTAAATTGTTCATGATTTCGTTAAAAAGAAAAGGCAACCAAATTTGCCTGACCCCAACAATATGTACCCCCGAGTCCTTCACCACTTTAAACAATGAAGAGGTTGTGCTTTATAATTTTTGAGCAATCTACAGCTCTAACATTCTAGACCCTAGAAGAGCAGCTGGTATAGAGCTCCAGAGGGCTCTTAATGACACTGGCATTTTAGCTTGAAAATAAAGCCAATACTTGACTCTATTTGAAAATGTTAGCTCATCTTTCTGAAACTCCTTACTCAACATGGCCATCAAATTTTGAGTAGCATTAACATTTCTTACTTTAAGTACTTAAAAAATAGTAACATGGTCCCCAGATTTTTTCCACCTGGCTCTCTCCAGTTATGCTCGTCAATACAATTTTTTTTCAAGTGGAATTTTTAAGACTTATCGCTGTATAATTCCTATAGCTATTGATTTCTTTGACTAGTGAAGAATTTGCTGCTGGAAAACCCTCCCCATTGTGTGTGGATATGTGTGAGTATAAGTGTGTTGACGGAATTTGGTAGGTAAGGTGGGGAAGAAAACATTTGTTTAATTTTTGTCCTCTCACCTAAAAAATATATTTTGCCTTGAGAGATTCTCATAACACAGCAGTCAGTTCTGTGCTCTGCTCTTTTCAGAAAGAATGACACACTAATTTTCACTTCAAAGCCTGGCAGTTTGTAAGCTTGTCTTACAACATTAATTTTGGGAGCCATCTTCCAATGTCTTTCAGGGAGACGTTAACAGTCAACTGCGTTTGGCTTGTGAAAATAGAGAAAACACTTCTAAAAAATGGAAAATAAAAAGAAAGAAAAATGAAGCTTTAACTGGTTAAAAATCAAAATGCTTAATTCTGGTGCATTATGTATCAATAAAAAGTAAAAGAACAACTTGGAAAAAAAACAGAAAAAAATGACATAGAGTTTAAAACTTTTTGTTATGTTTTAGACAAATACTATCAGGATTTGGCTCATAGAAAGTGGGATTGTTACACACACACACACACACACACACGATGTCTATTGTTTTGTTCCAGGATTGAAAGCAACCTGAACTTTTAGAGGCTATTTTAAAATATTTACTCTATTTAAAGTCTTGGCAGAGCTATAAACTTCATTACTATATATGTCATTTTCTAAATACACATGTAAACACATTTAAAGAAAGAATAAGAAACACATTCTTATCATACAGATGTTCCCTTGCTGCTGTTTCTGTGATCCTCCACAATTTCTTCCTCATGCTCTCCTAAGATGCTGCTCCCTAGCTGAAACCAGTATGGGGTTTTCACGTGGGCCAAGAAAAAATTCACTTTGGGGTCCAAATTCCACCACCTCCAACTTAGGTTCTTGTTCTCACACACCTTTTCAGAATCTTTGAGTCCAAAGGGCCCTCTCCTTCTTGCTCAGTAACTTCGGCGCCGTCTATGTGTCATGACTTGACACTTGGTTTTTATGGATTATGCCATGTAAAACCCCAACAAGCCTATGTGGGAGATAATATAAGAAATTGGCTGAAGATATAAAGTAAATTATACATGGTCACACCATTTAAATTTTGGAAACAGAATTTAACTCTACAAGTTGCAGACTATAACGGTTGTACTCCATCCATCCTGTGGTACTACCTCTCATATTGATAATCCAGGAACATGGAATTAGGGATTCAAATATGTTAATTCTATTTTCAGCTCCATTGCTGCCTTTGGTCTTGGTAAAATTAATACTGTGAGCCTCTGGATCCTTAGTTTAAGAATATACCTAATGAGGTATATATACCCAATGAGGCATTTGGCTGACTCAGTTGGTAGAGCATGTGATTCTTGATCTCAGCGCTGTGAGTTCAAGCCCCACATTGGGTGTAGAGCTTACTTAAAAATAAATAAATAATTTAATTAATTAAAAAGAGCTAAATTTAAAAAAATTCTTTGGGGCACCTGGCTGGCTCAGACAGTAGAACATGTGACTCTTTGATCTCAGGGTTGTAAGCTCAAGCCCCACATTGGGTGTAGAGACTACTGAAATATAAAATCTTTAATATATATTGAATGATTTTTATGTCCTCCTCCATTTCTTGCTATTGCTATTATTACTACAATTTATGGAGTACTAAGTATTTACTTACATTAGCTAAAATTGAGACAATATGCACATTGATTTGCAAACATGGTATTTACTCCTTGTAGCAAAACTTTGAGAAATTATTGATTTAGAGATGATGAATCTGACATTATGTTGTTTATCTAAGTGTCATAACTCTGAGAATTACAACCAGAATTCAAACTGAAGCTTGTCTGACCAGAGTATCTAGACTCTTATTCATAGTCTCCCCCTGCCCTATTCTAGGATTCCTTGAAACAGGGGTTCAGTAAATGAAAAAGGGGTGGACACCCTGGAAGGCCCACAGTGGGGTAGAAATTGAATGGTGCTTCAGTGATCAGTTATCTCATGAACAGGGGTGAAGAGCAAGGGGAAACCAATTAGAATAATGGCTTATTCTCAGAAACAAGCCTAACATGTCTAAGTGCAAATACAAAGTCTGTGCAGAACAGAGAAGAAAAGCATAAACCAGCATCATTCTAAAGTGCTTAATATAAAATCTCACTCCTACTTTTGTTTTTTTCCCTCTTGTCTTCCCCTTTTCAGTACAATCGTAACAAAGAGTGTCTCAGTATCCTTCCCCATACCTAAGATTATATGTACATTAGAAATTATAGCATAAGTCCCATGCAGTATTTATAGAACCAAGAGGTAACACTGAAACATACAGAGGGGAAAAAAAAAATACAACTAAAGAGAATGCTGAACAGGAAGCAATCTCGAGAATCACGTAGTCCAATCTTGCTCAGAGAATGTTATCTTCATGATCTGCAAGGTTTCATCAGAAAGAGAAAACTAAAAATAGAAAGTGTGGGTTAAGTGAGTGGGATATATAGCTTTAAAAAAAAAAAGGAAGAAAACTACTCACAGCTTAAAGGTTTAGAAAACTCTCTGCCACAAGATCTGAAAGAATAAATTACATCAAGAGCTGTTTTAGTGTTTTCTTTATTTTGGGGGAGTGCAGTGTGGATTGATTTAGAGTGACCTGTATTTAAAAGCCTTGGCGTTCTTGGAAACAGAGCAGTTCTATTGCACGACCCTCCTTCGCCTCCTCCTCCTTCTTCCCACAGTACAAAGCA